CGTGTCCGTGTGTCCGGACCCCGCGTGTCTGTGTGTGTGTGCACGCGTGTGTGTACGTGCTGTACACGTGTAGTGTGCATGCGTGCGTGTTTGTACACCTGCGTGTACATGTGTGTGTATCTGTGTACGTGTCTGTACGTCTGTGTGTGCACACGTGTAGTGTGTGCACGTCTGTGTGTGCACACGTGTAGTGTACATGTGTGCCCTTGCGGCAGGGGGACGCCGCGCACTGGCTGGCCTGCGCCCTGTACGTCGCCTGTCGCAAGAGCCTCGTCCCCACCGTCGGCAGCGGCCTCATGGAGGGCAACGGCGTCTCGCTCACGCGCATCCTGCGCTCCGCCAAGCTCAGGTGCGTCCCCAGCCCCGCTCTGGCGCCTTCTTTGCCCTTCTCTGTAGGCCCCTTCGCTCAACCAGCCTCTCGTTTCGGGCTCCCGACCTCGCAAAACCTGCATGTCCCACAGTAGTTTTATTCAAAACAATAAATCCTCTCTTGTGCCAAGTGGAAACAAGATGCAAATATGTAATTTGCTTTTCCCTAAGTTTATCCTCAATCCTTTGAAAAACCACCCACATCATCAGACTAACAATTGTTCTGCCCACAGGTGTGTTTTTTTTCTCCATTCTTTCTTTCTTTTTGTAGTTAATTGAAATGCAATAGAGACATCTAAGTCTTTCACTAATCATCCAGATAAACCTTGGGGTGCAGGGCAGATCTCCAGGTATCATCTCCGCTGCTGTGTTGTGTCAGGGCTTGGGAAAGGCCAAGCTATGCTCCTGTGCTCCAGCGGTTTTCCAGGCAGCCTCAATGCCTTGCCATGATGTAACTCAAACTACTTCATGTTCCATTGAAAAAGCTGTTTTCAACTGGGCAGACAGAGGGGATTGGCTCCAGTTACACCTTCCTATGAAGGTCCTTCACTTGTTAGTCTCCCCTGACCAGGTCAGCTCTGCCAAGCAGCCTTCAAATGCAAGCGAGTATTTCCATGTCTGTGCCATAAAGGGAGTTGGAAGAAAGGCCTAGATATAAGGAGGCAGAAAGCTTTGGTGTGTGCAGCTTGGCAGCGTCTCAAATGTCAAACCTATGTATTAATTAAACTACTTGCCAAAGATTAAATATGTCGCATTTCACCTTTATCAGAAACTGACAGAATACATGAATCAAGTTAAAGCTGAAAATAAAATACTTTTTTTTTCTTTCTCCTTTTAAGTTTAATTCAGTTTTTCAGCAAAATGAAAAAGTGGATGGACATGTCAAATCTACCACAGGAATTCCGAGAGCGAGTGGAACGGCTGGAGAGAAATTTTGAAGTGTCAACAGTGATTTTCAAAAAGTTTGAACCCATATTTTTGGATATATTTCAAAACCCTTATGAAGAAGCTACGAAGCCACAAAGAAGCAGGAAGCAGAGGTATTTGTGAGGCTTAGCAGAGAGAACCGAAGTCACGGAGGGTGTTTTGTCTTGCAAAGAACCTGCTCGGCTGTTGTGCAGAGCGATTGTATCGGGACATCCAGTGGCCTGTGCGAAATGAGCAAACGCTGCCAGGCTGTGGGTCTGGATCATCTCTGCCCCAGATGTTGCTCAGGAGAAGAAGCTGTAATACAAGTAATAGCTGCATGTATTGAAGGGATGACTGATGTTTTGATAAAATATTTAGAAAAAAATCTGTTGTAATTTATATACCCATTGGCGTCTTGTTCACAACTTCAGGTGAATTTTATTTTTTCACTTGTTTATTTTATTGTTTTTACAGTTGTGGCAACAGAAAAGAATAGTATGGCTAAGAGTCACCGAGTGCTGTTTGCTCAAAGAAAGGATGGAAAGATCAATGATGGGGTGTTACATGCTCTGTAGACCTAGATATGAGTATTAATTACTGAAAATTGATATAAGCGTATGTGGCTTGCACTGTGCCTTGGTGTAAAATAGAGTTAGACAGCGCTTCTGAGCTGGGGAACAGTATGAAACCGTTGTTGTAAAAAACAGTTTCTGCTTCTTGGAACTGCAGACTCACTCCTCCTTCCCCGTCCTTGGCAGGCGAGTGCCGTGCAGCGTTAAGGATCTCTTCAACTTCTGCTGGACTGTCTTTGTGTATACGAAGGGTAGGCTTGCTTCGTTTTATCTGTTGATTTGTTTCTATTTTGAGTTACTAACTCCTTTATGTTGTTTGATGTGATACACTGTCTCTTAAAGGTAATTTCCGTATGATTGGAGATGATTTAGTAAATTCCTATCATTTGCTTCTGTGCTGCTTGGATCTGATTTTTGCAAATGCCCTTTTGTGTCCGAATAGAAGAGATTTGCTAAATCCATCGTTCAAAGGTATGATGAGACAGATTATTTAAAATCAAACACGCTTTGATCTTTTAAAATCAAATGTGAGGTCAGTGGCCTCTCTCTTCCCTCTGTTCCTCGTTTTGTTTCCAGGCTTACCCGCAGACTTCCACGCAGCGGAGACCCCAGCCTCTGCAGAGCCTCCCTGCATCATTGCCACGCTGTGTGAGCTGCACGATGGGCTGTTGGTGGAAGCTAAAGGAATAAAGGAACACTACTTCAAACCATACATTTCAAAACTCTTTGAAAGGAAGGTATGTCGTATTAGCTTTAAGAATATGTGATGGTCCTCAGATAAATGTTCTTATCTTAAAAACACTTAAATGCAAGTTCTAGTAGAAAGTGTGCTAATAGGCAGATGTGTTTGAAAGTGATGGGTTCAGATTTCCTTTGAACGTATTTAGCAGTAGATTTTACTCTCACTTTTCATGCTGCATAAAGCGTTTTGATGTGGCTGGCCAGATGAGTGGGGAATTTCTATCTTCTGTTCACAGCATTGTGAAGTACAAAAGCTTTTGTTAGAGAGGAAACAAAAACAGTTACCTCTTTGTAAATGAACTTTATAGGGTAACTGTAGTGATATGGTGGCTTCTTGTCTTGGTGTTTGGGAAAATATTTATGACGACGCAGTTGAGGTTGCGCTTGCACGAGCTCTTCTGTCTGCTCTTGATCCTGGAAGGTTGTTTCCATGCTCTGTGGAAGGTTATAGAGTCACTCATCCGATCACTCCCTAACCTGCTGGAGGAACAGGCTTTAGGTGGCAGTACTGTTTTTGAAGAGTGAGTTTGTTTGGAGATGGGATAGAACTAAGCTCTGTTCCCCAAGTCTTGCCAAGGGTGTTGCATGCAGCAAAATATCCTATTATGTTTCTAACCATTATTTATCTTTCTGCTAACCAGTTGTGCTGAATTGGGCCAGTTATGAGTTTCATCATATATATATATATTTTTCAGATCTTAAAAGGAGAATGTCTGTTGGATCTGTGCAATTTTACAGAAAATAAGTAAGTTATGGATTATGTTCTTAATCATGGGTTTGAGTTTCATTTCTGGAGTATTGTGTCCATTTCTGGGCTCCACAGGACAAGAGGGATGTGGAGCTGCTGGAGAGAGTCCAGCACAGGGCTACGAGGATGATCAGGGGCCTGGAACATCTGCCCTATGAGGAGAGGCTGAGGGAGCTGGGGCTGTTCAGCATGGAGAAGAGAAGGCTGAGAGGGGACCTGAGCAGTGTCTAGAAGTACCTCAAGGGAGGCAGGGAGGAGGATGGTGCTGGCCTCTTTTCAGTGGTGGCCACCAACAGAACTAGAGGAAATGGCTGGAAACTGAAGCATCAAAACTTTCACAGGAACTTAAGGAATTTTTTTTTAACAGTGAGGGTGCCAGAGCCCTGGAACAGGCTGCCCAGAGAGGTTGTGGAGTCTCCTTCTCTGGAGATCTTCAAACCCGCTTGGATGCAGTCCTGTGCCACGTGCTCTAGGTGACCCTGCGTGTGCAGGGGGTTGGACTAGATGACCTCTAGAGGTCCCTCCAACCTTAAGAATTCTGTGATTCTATGATTTCTAGAATTCATCATCTTCGGATGCTGTGTATTAGATCTCTCGGTTCCTTTCTCTTGCCATAGTTAACTGTTTTTAATTATGTGGCAAGTAAATCTGTTGTTTGGCCGAAGTGATCTCTGAGTCTGAGATTTGACAATTATCCCAGGGTTTTCTGTTCAGCAGCAGTCATTAAACCCCCCCCCCCCCCCCTGTTTTTATAGTGTTTGCTTCCCACTCACCCAGGTGGCTGTCATCTTTGGAAAGCCTGGTAAAAGGATCAAAGTCTTGACTCTAAACTTCATGTTTCTGTACATACCTCAAATGTTTATATACCCTGTTGCCTGGGTATGGAAGTTTAATTTATGTTGTTGCCTGTTTCCTGTAAAATCTGTGACTGCACCAGAAGAACAAAAAAGCAAAAATAAAAGTGCAAACTGCAAAACCACAAAAAGGGGATAAAGCACTTGTGTGAGGCTTGCGTAGTTGTTTTAGAAAAGTAAATTGAGATCATTTCTAATTTAAAAGCTAATTTAAATACAGATTAACAGCAGCTGCTTGGTTTGGGATAATCTTCAAGATTTTCTTCTTTGCTTTCTTCAAAGATACCTAATACTTTGCTTTGGCAAGACCAATCTCTATCTTCTCAGTTTGTTAAATGAGAATTATGAGCAAAGACTTGAATTGTTTTAAGGGGCAGGTGATACTCTGAAATAGATGGATATGAGAGTGTTGATATAACCCATATAAAACAGTGAAGCAAATGTAGCTGCTGATTTTAGTATTTCTACTTAGTAATATTGCTGTAATAATGTTGTTTTGTATTGATAATGCCGTAGTACTTATTCTCTTGCAAGCAATTTAAAAAAACAAAGGAAATGTGGAAGCCTGTCTGTTTCTTTGCCCAAACTTATTCATATTTCTTTTCTAAAAGACTGTAAGGTGATAAACCTATAAAATAGTTGCAAGTTTGCTGTGGTACCACTAAATCACTTATGTAATTATGTTACATGTGAGTGTATGAAGTATCTTTGCCTGCAAGACTCAGTGTTCTTTACCTACAGGTATTGTAGTACATGTATACATTAGCATAAACTTGCAGATAGGATTTCATGATGCTTCTGGCATTTATTGCCAAGCTTCATTCAGCTTCCCAACTACCAGTTTAAAACTTTGCGACCTTAACAAGGTTCAGTATTCCTGTATTACAGATAGGTGGACTGGAATAAAGAAAATGAAGGATTTATTTGGTATCTTGTGTCAGAGAAGGCTTGGAAACCGAATCCAGGGGCCTGGCTATTCAGTTCTCCCTGTTTCTAGGCTGCTATGAAAAGTGCTGACCACCAAGTAGTACAAGTACAAATCGGACCTCCTAGCTAGTTCCACGCAACCACGATTACCTTGTTCTGTATTTACAAAAGGTAACTTCTAAAAAAAAAAAATTCACTTACAACTGCACTAGAAGCAATTTTTTTCTTCCTGTGCTTGCTGAGAACCAGAGGGTGGCGGTATCCTAGGGAGAAAAGTAAGGCCTGTGGCTGATTCTATAGGGAATAGGGGAGGCTCTAGGTAATGAGAAAGGCAAGGTTTAGCACAAGCAAATTATCCCTTGTAGTAAAATGTCACTGACAAATAGTGCTACCATTTAAAGTGTTATGTGCTCTGAATGCCTCTTGGTTTCAGTTTTGTGCTTTGCTGGCATCTCTTTGCTTCTTTAGCAGTGTAGCCTCTCATTACAACACTTGGTGGTTTCCCCTTTCAGCAAAGCGTTGAATAAAGAGTACGAGGAATATGTTCTGACAGTGGGTGACTTCGATGAGAGAGTTTTCCTAGGAGCAGATGCCGAGGAGGAAATCGGCACCCCTCGGAAGTTCCCTGCCGACATGCCAGCGGGGAAAACAGCAGCAAGAGCCCATGTGGAGTGTCACCTGCAGCAGCATTTTGAAAAGGTGGGTCCGGGGACATCATTTTCTCTCAAAATACTCTTATTCCTTCCCCCCCCCGCCATCACCGAATCACTTCTGAAAAGTTGTATTTCTTCAACACTTTGCTAAGAGTCAGAAGGTAAGCCTCATACACAGGCTCCAGGGAGCTTTCTTGATAAGGAGAAATTGTGGTGTCTTCTCTTGTGATTTACTAAGTCACTATTCCTTAAAGAACGTGTGAGCACTTTCATATGTGAGTTTCTGTCTTACACTTTCATAAAGTAATTTATCAATTAGAAACCTTATTAGATATAAATGAAGTTTGACCAAAATCTTTGAATACCACGGATTAATTTGCTTGTTTTCCTAATATTTCTCTCCCAATACAGGAAATGTCAACTTGTTTGCTATTCTGTAGGAAATAACATTCAAGACAAATTTGACAAATGCCTTCCTTTTCTAATTTACAAAATTTGCGCTCTACTTTTCCTAAAAGGATATTTTAAAGAAATTCTTTTTCTAAAGAAATACTCTAAAAGTATTGCTTTCAGTCTACTCTACTTTTTCTAAAAAGTTTTCTATTTTTTTCTAAAAGTAGAGTATAAACACTGCAAGTAATTTGCTATGCTTTAAAATATAATATGTATGTAATGAAGCAGGTATATGGAGGAGGAAAAAAACTTGTTTGACGACTTTTGAAACTGGCTAACAGGATAAGGGCTGCTGCCTGTGCGAAAGGATCAGATGTTGTTTCATAGTTACCCACTGTTACATGCCAGCTTGAAAGTTATTGAAAGATGATACTGATCATGTAAATGAATTGCACAGTTTGAGGTTTTCTCCCAAATGTAAACGTACTGCGTATTTAGGCAAGTTAAAGATATAATGATCTGGAATTAATTTTTTAAATTTGAACTTCGGTTTCTTTATTATAATGACATGAGCTTATTGCTGTCTGTTCACACTGGCTGTGGGCATAACTTCAGGTCATTATTTGCCTAGGGCCTGTTCTAATAACTGGGAAGCAAGTGCCTTCCTGCGTCGCTTCCAGGACGGAATGGCCGCGCTCTGGGCGCTTCGCGCCGCGCGGTGCCCGCAGTGCGGACGCTTCCCGTGGGGTCCCCCCATTCTGTGCCCCCTCCTGCAGCCCGCGGAGCCACAGGTGCTGGGTACTGTGGAGGGAGGCACGTGCTTTCTTGCCCTGCATCTGTCAGTATTTAAGAAGTGAGCTTAGTTGTGTGCTTGAAGATTTGAATTCTCACTTTCCTGGACTTTACTTTAAAAACTTTAACTTGAGTTTAGTCTGTACTTACAGATGAGGGCCTTGGGAAAAAAAACATCAAAATATTAAGGGCATTTTTTTGAAGGCCAGTTCTGTTGACCAATTTATTTACTTGTTCTCTATCTGGCAGAAAAGGTCATTTGCCCCTTCAACTCCACTGACTGGCAGAAGATACCTGCGAGAGAAAGAGGCTGTCATCACCCCTGTTGCTTCAGCAACGCAGAGTGTGAGTCGGTTGCAGACTATTGTGGCTGGCCTGAAAAATGCCCCCAGCGAACAACTTGCAGCTATTTTTGAGTAAGTGCCTGCACTGGAGCTACTCGCACGCAGCTGGAAACTTCACTTTGCTCCAAACTTGGCTCTTTTGTTTGGTGCAGTGTTTGCATGGTCACTTCCATGTATTTTTAAGTTCTAAACAAATATGGATGAATTAAAATAAATGTTGCCCGTGATGGTAGAGGTTTTGGGAGCTGTGGGGAGGCAGGAAGTATGAGAGTCGACAAACTGGAATCTTTGTTTAGAGATGTGGGAAAATGAGACTAACTACAGCCGAAAGGCTCACCATTTCTCTTTCATATCACTCTTGGAGATCTTATTCTTAAAAGTTTACAAGTGCTTAGCAACATTCTGTTCTATTTTGAATATTTTTAGGACCATTTGTTAATGTTTTCATTACCCAGTTAAGATGCTAACTCATCTGCAATCTCTGAATGATGAACAGCTTTTTCATTAAGAATAACCTAGTCTTTCATAGAGATGTAAATACTAACAAATGGGCGAGTACTGATTAAACCTCAGGAAAAACTTGTTGAATGCTTTGCTTCTCTTGCACACAGGCTCAGCAAACAGCAGCACATGTTATTTCCTAATTAGTAGTAATAGGAGAAACTGTATTTGGATTACGCAGTATTCTGTTTCCAATAACTTCTGTTTCAAGTAAAAATTCTTTAGCAGTATAACATTGTAATTAGCTATAAGGCTGTTGATTGAAGCTATAGTTTTTCAGTGTTGCCCTTTTCAAGATGGTCAAGTGTCTAAATGTGAAGCTAATCAGATGATCCTGTGCTCTATTGCAAACTTGTTGGAAAATCTGGAAGCCTTCAGAAAGGGCCCTTGTGGATGGAGAGACTTTTTTTTTTTTTTTTTTTCTCTTAATAGCAATTGTTGGGCTCATGGGTGCCCCTCTAAAACACAGTCTCACTGTTAAATAAGTTCTCTTTGGGGTGTTGTAGGAAATTCAAACTGTTTGCTGGCTGTCCTTGGGCCCCATCCTCCCTGTGTTTTTGCAAGGGGAAGTAATTTGTTCTTTGAGGTGACCCGGGGTTATTTTAAAATCGATGTTTCACTGTCCTACGATACAATGGTATCAAACACGTGTTTCTTAAGCCAGCTCTTGAACGTGCAGTTTTTGTGAATCTACATTTACTTAATCCTTCTACTGATACTTCAGCATAAATCCAGTTCATAGGAATCTGTATTATGAGTTCTAGCTCTCCCATCTCCATTAAAATCTGTTTGCATTCAGAGTCTTTAGGATATTGCTTTTAGTCTGTTTCAGTTTGTGGATACCTGAATCTTTTGCCCTGGTCACACAAGTTCCTCATAGAGAATTTAAGTTATAAAAGAGGATTTTTTTTTTCCTTCTTTGCCTTTCAAAGATAAGCAATGTGCAAATTGCAAGTTGGAAATCACACTTAGGCAGAAATGCAGCTGCTAAAAGCTGGACTTTAGATTATTCATGTATTTTCTGGGGAAAACATTGTGCATGAACTCTAGAATTGTAGGATAAAAGGGTCTTGGCTGGGAGCCTTTATTCCCTCTCCTGATTAAGAATTTTCCTCACTTAAATAGAGGCCGTTGGGACCGAGTGCGCCAGTCTGGGCGCTGCAATGGGCCGGTAGTTGCTGATTGTACTACATCCCAGTTGGATTTGTTTGTCCCTTTTCCCAATAGGCTTACTCACCCTTTGGCTGTTGGCAGGTCATGCTCCTCTGGAGTCAGAGGCTGTAGTGCTGTTACTGCATTTAGTAGCTGCTGATGGGCTTTCTTCCTTGAAGTGATCTTTATTTTTAATTTACTCAACGCTTTCCAAAATCTCCCCTCCTGAGCTGGCTGGCTGGAGCTGTTGCTATGATGTTTGCTCTTTACATGTGCATTACTTTGTGTATAAGTGATGTCTATTTTCTTTCCCTCTGTCAGGCAGGTGTTTAACACAGGGAAGTGGTTCTCTAGATCTCTGCAACAGCCCAGCAACAGGGGCATCTCCATCCTGCCCTCCAGGCCACTGGTACAGGGTGCTTAACTATGTTCTGCCCATGAGAATCTTTCATGGACAGCACATAGGCCAATAACTGCTTGTTAGGTTAATAGCTGATTGATGACTAGGAATAAGGAGCCCTGTTCTTATTGCCTCTTAACAATGTTGTCTTCTGTGGGAGGCTAATTTCTCCCCTCAACAAGAATAGGGTTGCAGCTTCTGTGCCCCTTCAGCAAAGCCCGAGGCACAGGATTCCCGCTGTCCTGCGTCAGTGCCGTGCTCGAAGGCACCTCTGTGGTGCCCCTGCTCAGGAAACCACCTTCCCTTGGCTCTGCAGCCTCCCTGTTTCTGGTGTGCTTTGGGGTTCTCACTTTTATACTTCCAGCAAGATAATACAATCTGAAGAAATAAATATTAACACATAACTATGATTGTATTTAACGTATGAGTTTGTGGGTTTGCCTGTCTCTTTGTTTCAATTGATTTTCAATTTTTATAGGCATTGACTTCTTGCTTTGGAAACTCCTCTTTGCTCTCTCAAACGGTGCCTGCGTGTGCAGTTGCCTAGATGCGTTTGGGTTACCTCCTGGAGCAAACTTCTTGCTACCTTCCTCTTCCCAAATGTGTCTTTGTGCTTGGTGTGCTGCCATAGCTCCTGATTTTTGCTGCATTTGTTCTAAAATTTCCCGTATAATGCCTATAACTGCTAGGAAAGGAAAAGAAGGAAACAATCTCTTTGTACCTTCTAGGTATTCTGCTTTTTGTAGTAGTGTGTGTTACTGCATGTTGAGGGAAGCTGAGTACAGGCACCTTCCCTCCTCTTCATCTGAGTGTGGTTTTTGGGAAGGGCTTGAGGGGAGCAGAATCCTTATTTGTGCAAGCAGGACTTTCTGTCCGTGTCCCCTGCAGATCGTGTGCGCGCAGCCCTATGGAAAGCATCGTGAACAGAGTGAAGGAAATAGGTGAAACTTTCTGTCGGAGCTACACTCGGTCAACGGATGAACAGCCGGGGTCTCATATAGGTGAGCGTGGAATGTGTGGCTTGTTTCAAAGCATGAAACCAGGCAAACGAAACGCATGCCTGTGCTTTCCTCTAAGCACTTAATTCAGTGGGGCTGTTGGACCCAGAACCTGTCCAGAAAGAAAAGTGCTTCTGTCAAACAGAACACTGTAAAAAGTATTATGAAATAGAACAAGGCTATAGTTCAAAATGGGATAACTAAGAAAGCATTTAAAGTTTAGCAGCTTTTTAACTGAAACTGGAAATTATATTCTTCTTGTATGCAAAATTTAAAGGAAATAGGGTGTGAATTTGCAGAATTCCATACTTAGAAATATTAAAATACATAATCCTCTTTTTTTTTCTGTTCTTATGTTTAGAAATCCTTTGGTCAGTCTTGATTTAGAGAATCTATATGCATGCACACACATGCGCATTTTTCATTCGTTTTAGTAGAAGACCAGGTATCTGTCAACTTAGACTAAAGCCATTTGTTAAAACAGTATTGGGCTTCATCATTGTGGTTTTAAATTTCAGATTTTGCTGTAAACAGATTAAAACTGGCAGAGATCTTGTACTATAAAATCTTGGAGACTATAATGGTACAAGAAACACGAAGACTGCATGGGAAGGACATGACTGTAAGTAAAAGAGAACACTTTTCCTAAGCTCTCCTCTAGGGAACTCTCCTTAGACAGCTCCAAAACAGATCAGTGTGCAGCTGACCAGCCTATGTATATTGTTAGTATTAAAGACAATTGTATGAGAGGTGCCTTAGTTGCAGGTTTTTTACTGTTACAAAGGCTAAAAATTCAGCTCTACTAACTATATTAATTTGTATTGCCTTTAGAAGCAAACCTTCTGGGCACGTAGTCCTATTGTCATCTGCATCCTGTTATCAATATTGGCACTTCGTGTTAGGCAGGAACACGTCTGTTGTGCTTTGTGATTCAGCACAGGGAGACTGTCTCCTCTGGGTATAGAATCAAAACTGTGTGCTGGTTTTGCCACTGTTAATCTACTTCCAGTCTTTACCAATCTGGAGCTTCCAGTAAAAAGAGGAGATTGGGGGAAGCAGTAGCTGTTTCTTAGGCACTAAGCTGGGTGTTTGTGCTGCAAAAAGGAAACTTTACCTGACCTGTCACCTGGGTGGGTTAATGACTGTGTACTGCTTTGGGTCTGCCTGTTCTTCCTTTCTTCTTGACACTTTCTGGTTGCCTGTAAAGAGCAAAACGTAGCTTATTCAGCTGGATTTTTAAGCTCTTATGTTTAAAGCGAAACACAGAACCTTCCTGCAAAAGATGTAAAGTGTTTTGAGGCTTAAATAAATGCATTCATCTTAGTATTGTTAAATTAAAATCATCTTTCCTGTTCTCCCTAATAAGATTATATAGTATTTTTAAAGAACAAAGGTTGTTAGTTTTTGTCTAAGATGAAGTTTCTTACAGTAAGAGTGACAAAGATGTAATTCTACCTGACTTGCACACTTCTTTTTTTTCTGCCTCCAGTTCCCTAACCTTGGATCTCTGACTGTTTCCATAACTTTTTCAGGCTCTCTTGGAACAAGATGTCTTTCACCGTTCCCTGATGGCATGCTGCTTGGAGATTGTGCTTTTTGCCTATAGCTCCCCTCGCACCTTTCCCTGGATCATTGAAGTTCTTGATCTCAAGCCTTTCTATTTTTACAAGGTAAACATGTGCTCTCTTGTTATTGGACATATCCTTATATATATTCTGAAATATTTTACCCAAAATGTATAAGGTTTCAGTTGATGCTGAAACTTAAAGAAAACCATTTTGTGGATGGTACTTAACTGTGGTGTGCTGTTAATCAACTTTTAATTCTTGTTACGTACAACTTTGAGTAGGTTAAAGCATTCAGTTGGATGCTTTACTAAAATGCAAATATGCTGACTACAAGCTATAGGACTGCTTGCATCCTAGTTCTGCTTATTACAGATAAAATAGTAAAGACACTTTATCTTTGACTACTCCTACTTATTTCAGACTTGTTCTGTAAACTTTCTTTTTTCTTATTTTACATAAGAGAGCATAGTGTTTTTTTTCCTTGGTGTTCTCTTATTTTTACTCATAGTTTGGAGGTGGTAGAGTTGTGGTGCTTTGTTCGTTTGTGTGTTTTTTCTTTCTCCTCACCAAATACCTTTTCTCTTCCTTAATTTGTTTACTCATTTAATCCTTTTATCACCTATTCATGACCCTTATGCAAAGCTCCTGGGAATCTTTACTAGACACCTAATAGCTACTGTGACTAGTACTGAAAGCATGAAATTGACTCTGTTTAGAGAGTAATAACTGAAAATACTTAAATCCTTTGCAAAACAGTTGTTTTATATCGTATTCTTCCTTCTCCTTTAAGTTTCAACTATAAGGTGGTAGTGAAACTGAAACAAGTCTGTTAATTGCTGCTGGTGTTGGTAGCCTAAATCAGCAGCAGATGGTCTGGTGTCTTCTCTGCAGACATAACTTTGTGGAACAAATTTATGTTTCATTTTCTTTAATGTTGTGCATATGTTTTCATTGCACTTTTACTTCAACAAGCTGAAGACGTCTCATGAAAGTCTATGTTTGTTTCACTTGTTTTTTCTTCTTTAGCAGGTCACTTTGGGAGTGTATGACACTCTGATCACTGAAGGTTTATAAAAATAGACTGAACATTCATCTAATTAGAAATAGCATAAAGTTCTTGCATCAGAGTGGGGGGGATAAATTCTGACCCTGCAGGAGCCTTTTTAGCTGTTGCTGGTACTGATCTGTATGCTCAGGGATGGCGAGAGGAGGCCGCACACCAGGGTGTGAACTGGATTGCTTAGAGCGATTGGAAAAGGTTTGAAGGGATGAAGATGTGAGGCAGTGGCTAGAACATCCTATGCTGAAGAGCATGTCTGTGCAGTTTGTGGTTGTTGGTTTTTGTTTTTTTTTCCTCTTTCCTTGTTTTCTTGTTTTCTTTTTATTTAGGTTCCTGAAATGAATAATATGGTGATATTAAGCACGAGTGATGCAACTTCTGTTTTTTTGTATATGATCCTTGCTGCCACTAGGTCATCGAAGTCCTGATTCGGTCTGAGGAAGGTCTCTCCAGAGACATGGTGAAACATCTCAACAGCATCGAGGAGCAGATTCTCGAGAGCCTGGCCTGGACTCGGGAGTCAGCGCTCTGGAATGCACTCCAGGCTTCGGAAAACAAGGTCCCAACCTGTGAAGAAGTATGTTAGCTGGTTTTCTTTTACTTGCAAATTCGGATTCTTTATTACTGTCACTTTATACAGCAGATCATTCAAACTGGACAATTTCTACAGAAAACAATAAATTTTTAAAAGAAGGGAAAGTTATTTGTTGTCTTACGCTGGCATTTCTTATTTCTCAGGTAATCTTTCCCAGTAACTTTGAAGCAAGCAATGGAGGAGGTGGCCTGGGGCACTTGCCTATGATGCCGATATCTCCTATAATTCATCCCCGAGTGAAAGAGGTTCGGACAGATCTTGGTGGGAGTTTAAGACGGGGTATGTTCCAGGTTTCTAGCATATTTTAAATGCATGGTTTTATTTATTTAGAGACTACTTTAGAATTATGAAGAGCAATCCTGAGGCTGAAGTAAACATTGCTAAATGGCAACAGCTTCAGCCTGCATGCATCCTGTGAAGCCATTTGTGTATTTTAGTAGCAGCAGACATCAGTGATTCATTTCCGCGCTGAAGCTGATTTTCCTTGGTTTGGATGAAATGGGTGCCCTGCTCTTGGAGTGGATTGTCATCCTTGTCCTTTGCTCTTGATGCTTTTCCAGTCTGTTCTCTCACTACTATAGCAGTCTCACTTCTTACCCTTCAGCCTCTGCCTTTCTTCCCCTTCAAGCCCAGGTGCCATTGTCACCTCTTGCTTTGCTTCCTGCAATGATGAGTGGGTCTTTTCCTCCTTCCTCCAGAATGTTTTTTGCAGGAGGGGAGGGAGATAAGAGAGGATAGTTGGGCAGGCAGTGCTGTCTGTCTTCAGTTGTTGCCTGTGATCCAGAAGGCTTCAGCCTTGTAGGAGGCAGGAGACTGCAGTCGCTGTACGGGTGGTTTTGGTTTGTGTTTGTTTTTTTGTTTCTCTTCCCCCACCACATCCCTTAGGTAGCTATTGGGTATTTACATGCTTTAGTTTTACTAAAAATGTTTAAAAGCAGCAAAGAGCAATTTGAAGGGGACTAGAGGTATGTGGGGGGAAGGCTCTTGTTGGAATTAGTTTAGAGAGAAGATAATTTCTTCATCAGAAAGGGTTGATTGTATTTTGCAGCTTGAATAGGTTAGCCTGTTGCCTCACGTGGAGAAGTGATCCTCTTAAGCTGCTGCACTTAATTTTTTTTCTTCTTTGCTTGCCAGACCTGCAGCCGCTGTCGCCGATCTCTGTCCATGAGCGCTACAGTTCTCCCACGGCTGGGAGCGCCAAGAGGAGGCTCTTTGGAGATGACAGCCCCAAAGAGATGCAGGTGGAAAAGGTTTTCACTGAAGGCACTAAGCTGACAATTGCTCCTGCTTCGAGCGTCCTTGCTGAAAATGTCTCTGTTTCTCCTGGGCAAACAGTACTGACCATGACAACTGCTACAGTAGCAGGGAAAACGGGACAGAAAGTCACCATCCCGCTGCAAGGTAAGAATTCCTCCTGCACTAGAGCTTTTGCTTGTGCTTAAGACCAGTTAAAGTAAACTTGCATTTTTAAATTGTGTTATTTAAAAGGAAACTATTCATTTAAAAATAAATGAGAGCGCAAATGTATACCAATGTCGCATTCTAAAGTTTGATCTGCTGCCCAGCAAGGAAACCTGGGGGGGTTTGTCCTTGCAAACAGAGTTGTGGAGTCTTTCCCAGTCATGCTTTGCTGCAGATAAAGCTTGGTTTTAGTTGTTGACTTCAATAGTTATTCACCACCATTTGGCTTTCAGTGTCACAGTAAAAATTATCTGAAGTTTCTGGATGAGGGCTCTCTGTACGTATAGATATGAGGCAAAAGTTTGGTTTTGTTTTATTAAAGCTGAAAAGATGTTGCAGTATTTCTGGTGATGATGCACAAGAAATTTTATAGCTTTTTAATTTTAAAAAATAGTTCTTGTTTTTCTGTAAATGAAACCACTCATTGATGGGAATTTTCAGCAAGAGGGTTTGACTACTAAGCCTTGTCCATACTTTGCAAACTAGACACAATATTAACCCAAAACAGAACAAAAAACACTCACCTACTCCCCCGAGTGGAACATTAGTGCAGAAACTTTCTGAGTTTCTTGTGAATGTCGTACTTTGTCTGGATAGTCTTAGAGCATAAATGTGAATTGCTTCTTTTGAGTAATCATCAATGCACTTTTCAACCATTTCTGAATACTCTGAAGGATAAAGTCCGTAGCATCCAGTGCAGCGGGATAACGTATCTTCAGTGGGGAATGTTTGCAAATCCTGAATTCGTTCACATTCTCACTGTGCACATGGTGGCAGCAAGCAGCTTACTTCTCGCTGTGTGTGTTATCTCCAGGTATTGCAAATGAGATGGGAGGGATCACGTTGATCCCCATTTCCATGAATTTAGGTCAGCTGTCTAAAACGGAGGCTCTGGCTCCCAGCCAGCCTCCGGTGCATCAAGGGCAAGAAGCGCCTCCTTCATCAGGAAGCAAGCCGAAGAAAACGGGCTCCTTGGCGCTGTTTTATAGGAAGGTAAGGATCTTGGTCAGGAAGTGGAGCTTTGCTTTTCCTCGTGACTCTATTGCAGCTTATCCCCTTGAGTAGTTTCCATGTTCTCGTTACCTTCCAGGCTTCAGGCACCTTCCCTTTGGCACGAACAGCCCCCCTGTTACCGGGGGGAGGAGAAGGAGGAGGGTTGCTTAATTCTTGCATGGAATCAGATTTCCCCCTCTCACTTCATTTGTGAAGTGAGGAAGGGGTTTAAGGGTAGAATAGATCTAAATGCTTCAGAGGAGCTTCAGTTTTCTTGTCCTTGTTTGCTTGCCTTCACTTGGCAAGGGACCATTGCAGGAAGAGGGATTTCCTGAATGCTGTGGAAAAATACACAAAAAAATACATATCACAAGAATATAGGACGTTGTTGTTTATCTCCTGTCAAGTAAGAGTTTGTTTTTAGAGGCTTGAAATATCTGTATTTCAAACTTGCAGAAATCTGTACTGAACAATCTGTAAATCTAAACATGGAAACTCATACCTAGAAGAACTTGGAAAGGAAGAAAAAGACAACTGCTGATTTAAGATTTTATTTGATGATAATTTAAATATCTTTATTTAAATGTCATAATTTAAATACCCACCTTTCTACCATTGTAGTTGATAGGTGATATGGTGTATGAGCAATAGGCATAATGCCTTTAGTCAGATTTCTTTAAGTGTTAGAAATGCAGCGTTTAAACAGAGTTTACACCATAGTGCTTCAAGACCCTTCTTGGGCAGAGAGGCAGATTTTGCTAAAATAAAATCTCCGAGTTCACGGGTGTGCAAAGGCTGTGCTCGGGTGAGGAGTTTCTGGGGAGAGGGAGGCAAGCTCCCTGCCCGGCCTCTTCCCGCATCTCTCCCAGGTGTATCACCTGGCCAGCGTGCGCCTGCGCGATCTGTGCCTCAAGCTGGACGTTTCCAACGACCTGCGCAGGAAGATATGGACTTGTTTTGAGTTCACGTTGGTTCATTGCGCCGATCTGATGAAGGATAGGCACTTGGACCAGCTCCTCCTTTGTGCTTTTTACATCATGGCAAAGGTAAGGCATAGGTTTAAGAAATTTAGGGAAATTTACTTCGGTGTGAAAAGTTAGTGTCAGTTAGCTGACAAGGAGCATTTGTTTTTCAAATTCCCAAACATTTTATCTGACTTTCTAGACTTTTCCTTCTTTATCTCTTAGTATTTCTAGAAGAAAACTTGGAAAAGGAATGATTCCTAAGCAAGAAAGGGCTTTCCTAGCTCAGATAGGAGACAAGGAATTGTTGAGAAGGAAAAATCCTAGCTTGTCCGTATTCCATTGCTGGAAGCAGTTGAGCACCCCACTGCCTGGCTTCCGTCCTCCGTGCAGCGAGCTCTGCGCTGGTTGTGCTCCTGCCTGTGCTAGTGTCCTGGCTCGAGGAAAAGCTCCCCTTTGCCACTAAAACTAATGTAATCTTCTCTCACTTCAGTATTTGGTCTATTCTTTTGTAAGAAAAACTTAATAAATAAAGGATGGTAGAGGCTCTACTGTCAGAGTGAAGATAAGAATCTTTATGCAATTGATTTTCAAAATTAAAAGATCCTAGAGTGTGCAGTTGGTCTAGAACAGCTTTTTCTTTTCCAGGTAACCAAAGAAGAAAGAACTTTTCAGGACATAATGAAAAGTTACAGAAATCAGCCACAGGCAAACAGCCATGTGAGTAAATAATACTGCCCTTCCTTTGTAGATATGTCAGGTACAGATGTCTTTCCAAATGTTTCTGCTAATAGTAGAAAATCAAATCCTTTTCAAATTATTCAGATGGATTTCATCTGTTCTTTACTTGCCCTCCTTGACAACAGTGTTTTTTCCCTCTGTCCTGTAGGTTTACAGGAGTGTCTTGCTGAGGAATATTCCTGGGGATGTTCCACTTGACACAGATACGAGTCAAGATGTAGAGATGATGGATGGTGAGCGCAGCCAAGTAGTCTGCTGTCGTTAGGAATGCACTGCATACTTGAGAGGAACTGAATGGTGGGGTAGTAAGGAGTGCCCTTGTAAGGAAAAGGGAAGCCTGTTTTAGGTTTTCAAATTGGAAAGCAATGTTATGGAAGAAAACAAACTGTCTTGTCAACAGGTGTTCTCTGTGTTAGCACACAGCAAATGTACTTTCCACTTGAAAGAAGTGTTTCTGTGGGAGTGGGTTGGGTGGGTTGTGTTTCTTCTTCCCTTAGTTATGATAACTTGAAGTGCTGCCTTAGTGTGTGACAAAGTGTGGCAGTGACATTGTAGTTCTTTTTGGACAGCAGTACCAGTTAATAAGGGAAGATGAATAGTACCGAAAATATTCTGACTTTTTTCTTAATGTGGATTTATGTTATTACCTTAGGCTTGGCAGGGAGAACATGTTCTTCTGGCCCACCACTCCCTGCCTTCAGATTTCTTTAGATTCAGCATCCTGTCTAGCAGCTCCTGGTGGCACTGGGCTCCCATGTTTCACCAGGCAAGGAGCTTGGTTACAAAGTTCCTTAGTTCCTTTTCCTGACAGACTTTCTTCAGTGTTTTATTCTTTATCTAGTGTTAACCCATGTTCTTTTCACATTAGCTGACAAATAGCATGTGACACATGTTACATTGTGATGTTAACTTGTGTAAAAAAAAAACTCTAGTTACATGCCTGAACAAGTGTTTTGGCTTCCTTGTAGTAGAGACACGAGTTGAGCACAAAGCTGCTCTTTGCCACCTGATCACTGTAAACTGCCTGGAAAACCTGGCAGTTGTCAGACTGCTTCACACTTTATTTTGCTGTGAGAGCTGGAGAAGTCAAGGTCTGGAGTTGACAGTCTAGAGCACCTTAAAACTGTTCTAGATCCTGGCTACTTTGATTGCTGCTGTAACTGGATCGTTACCTAAACGGGATAAGTGAGCAAGGTGACACTTGGTGAGCAAGGTGACACACAAGGTGCCGGGCTGGAGCACAGAGCTGACCAGGAGCGGCTGAGGGAGATGGGTTATTCCGTGTGGAGAAGAGGAGGCTCCAGGGAGACCCTATCACTCCCTACAACTACCCAAAAGGAGGCTGTAGTGAGGGGGAGATCGATCTCTTCTCCAGAATAACTACCCATAGGACAAGAGGAAATGGCCTCAAGGTTGCGCCAGGGGAGGTTCGAGTTAGGCATTAGGAAATATTTCTGCACAGAAAGGGTCAAGCATTGGAACAGGCTGCCCAGGGAAGTGGTGCAGTCACTGTCCCTGGCAGTGTTCAAGAAATGTGTAGATGAGGCTCTTGGGGGACATGGATTAACAGGTATGGTGGTGATGGGATAATGTTTGGACTTGGTCTTGAAGGTCTTTTCCAACCATAATGGCTCTATGATTCCACCCTTCTCGCCACAAAAAGGGAGCAATAGTGCTGTGTTGGTGAGTGTAACCACCGACAGCATCCCCTGAGCTTGTCTGAAGCAGATGACCCAAGTCACTTTATTAACTGGTCAACACAAGAATGAGCTCATGTCAGTTGCATAGTGTACATCTGAATCTGAAGAAACTCAGTTTGCTGAAGCTATGTTCTTGAAATCTGAAGCTCTCTCTCATTCTTAGAGTCCTCTGTGAAAAGTTGTTCCTCGGCACAATCTGCAACAGAAAACTCCAGTGAGTCAGGAACAGAGGAGAGAGGTGATCTGATCAAATTTTACAATGCAGTCTATGTAGGAAGAGTAAAATCATTTGCACTGAAGTACGATATCACAAACCAGGATCACGTAGTAAGTAAAACATTTTAGAATTTTGCTCTATCTGATAAAGATCGTAAAGACAAAAGGATTTTACTGCCAGCTAAGAATGTTAACTCTGTGTTGTCGTTTCCCTGATACAAATACAGAAGTCAAATAGTTCTAAGTACTGGGCTTTCTTTAACCGCCTTTCCAGAGGACAAACTGTCAGATGCCATTCAGTTCATAACTCCATTTTCAACTTCTCGTGGTGATGCCACCCTCTTTGCGGAAGTGCCCGTGCGGCATCAGTATTTTAATGCAGCATCTGGGAAATAAATTTGTTCTATGATTTGGCAGACATTTGCCCAATTCATTGAGTACAGCTCGGAAGTGCATTGGTCTTATGTTTCTCTGAAATTAGCATTTCAAAAATATTTTCTAACTTAGCTCCAATGCAAATTTGGCCTCTTTCAGATGGAAGCTCCTCCCTTGTCTCCGTTCCCAAACATTAAGCAGCAGCCAGTGTCTCCTCGGCGGATATCTCAGCAGCACTCGGTTTACGTTTCGCCTCACAAGAACGGCGCCTGCCTGACCCCTCGATCTGCTCTGCTCTATAAGTTTAGTGGGAGCCCTTCCAAGGTAGAAAACAAAGAGGTTGAGAGGGGAGCGTTTGGGAGGGTTGAGCTGGAATCTCGTGGTGGGAAAGTGCTCTTGTGCAGTGAGGGTTCTTTGAACTGGTTTCTTGGTTTGTGCTGAAAGGTAGATTTCCTGGGCTTCCTCCCTGATTGGCAAAGAGGTTCAAAATAGTAGCTGTCTATTTCTCAGATAATTGAAAATCAAAGCAATTTGGAGGTGTAGTAACTCAAGATGCTTTTTTTCTTTATCACAGAGCTTGAAGGACATCAACAACATGATAAAACAAGGCGAACAGAGAAGTAAGAAACGTGCGATAACGATTGATAGTGACACAGAGTCCCCTACAAAACGGCTGTGCCAGGAAAACGATGACGTTCTGCTGAAGCGACTCCAGGATGTTGTCAGTGAGCGAGCAAATCACTAAGGCTGCCTGGTTTCTCTGGGATCTACGAGCTGTGGAGTTCAGCACAGCTCTTGTGCTATTTATTTCTTGGTTTCCAGCCATTTTGTGTGTAGAAAACTGCCAAGTTGTTTTAAGTGTTGACGTTGCCTGACTTCCCTAGGATGCAGGAAGGAAAGGTGAAGTAGCAACCGTCGGGGGATAAGCAGGATGAAAAATGTGTTACAAGTTGCAGAAGACTGATCTGTAGGAAGCTGTGGGATGTTCTCTAGCATAACTCAGAGCATCTGAATTCAGAGTATGACTCAGCTTCTAGTAAGTGGTTTTGTTTTTTGGAATAATGACTTTCAGGGAATAAGTGGAGTCCGTTAATTGTCTCAAGCTTTTGGTATTTGTCTGAGGAAGAAACTTTTTAGAAGTGCCTTATTTTAAGAGCATGGAAATTTTATGCACTGTTTTAATGTGAAGTATATGGAGTAGAGAACAAACAGTCACTGAGAGGTTCTACCAGCCTTGAACTGCGTGGTTTTGTGTGAAGGGTTCCGTCTCCTCTGAGAACTTCAACTGAGGTCATCACCACAGTGAATCAAACGGCTTTTACAGCAAGGCAAAACCCATGAATGCGAAGAGCAGTGGCATAGACGGGTCCTGATACCTGCTGCAGCACTGATGCTTCAGTCAGTGTGAGTTACCTTTCCTCAGGGCTGGTGACAGCTCCTGGGGAGCTGCCTCTCTTCTCGGGAAGCTCGAGGGCATTCCCGCTGGGAAGGCCGGGGAGGTGTCTGCTGTCTTCACCGTGGGAAGTGCTGGATGGTTGCAGGTCAAAACAGGTCAGGCTCGGGCCGACTTCGGGCTGCTCTCATGCTCAAGTTCATTTAACAAATTGTATCTCTTTATATTTTTTCCTGAAGGCTTTAGTCTTTTGTTGTGTAGTATCTACACTGAGTGTAAGCCCGATCAGTTAAGGCATGTTTGTATATGTGATTTTTATAGCTATTAAGGGTGCGGATTCATTGGAAATACATAAATTCCAACATCTAATTCTAAGTTTTTTTTCACTGAAGGATTTGGTAGGGTTTATTTTGCCAAAATGGAGAAAAGTCAAGATTTGTTTGTTACTGTATATCAGTAGTTTGATCTTCTATCATAATTACGTTTTAAGATTAGAGCCATACAAAAACTTCCCAGCCCTCTGTTTTTTCAATTCTATGTGTGTATAATCTGCCATTTTTAATGGTTAATAGGACTTGTTTAAAGAGCTCTGACTTTGGTTTGTTTAATACGTGCCAATAGATTTGCTGTACCTCAGTTCCATGGAAAATAATTTTATAACTTCAAACAGTCTCAGCTAATGAACCTGGCCAGCAATGGTGTAGGAAACATGTATTTAAAAGTATACATGAGACAGCTTACCATATGCTTAATTCATTTTTGAATTAATTACTCTGTGATTTTTTTTTTTTTGGTAGATTTGGAAAAAGGTGCTTGTCCATTTGTAGTATAAGGAAGCAGCTAGGCAATACGCTAGATTTAATGTAGACTTTTCTGCTTATTTCCTTTATTCAGTTTGAATATTTGGCCTCAGATCTTGAGATAAAAAGCAGAGGGGAAGCAACCTTGCCCTCTACATTTGCCCCTGCCTGCCCTTATACATGGGATGGGTATAGTCGTAATTCAGTGATAATTCACCAAGCCCACAGTGTTTGGGGCAGAAGGGGGATCTCGATTTTAGCCTTATGCAGAGTCTGTTGTTTCCACAGAGGGCAGCAGGCTCTCTGGGTGATCTGTGGTTAAGATCCGTCTTAACAACATAAGTCTTTCAGCAATATTGTATCATGAGAATACTCTGTTCTGGTATTTTCTGAAAATGTGGAAAAATAATGATGATAGAATTTTTACTAGTTGTCATGAGACATTATTTTTTTCGTTAGAAAAATCAATATGCAACAACTGAGTGCAGTTCAGGTTTTCTCGTATTAGATTTGGCCTTTTTTAGGTGCTAATAGAAAGAAGGGTTTTCTTGTTTTTTGACTTGCTAAATGACTAATGGCTTATGTGACAATTTTGTAACGGTTTAAAAGTGCCTTCACATGTAAATATGTATTTTATAATAAACACTTTAAAAAAATGTTTCAGCTTGTGTTGCTCAGTTTCCTGTGATAGTTTTTTAAATGGTGCCCTCTGTATTTTTAGTACTGTCTGATTCTTTTCTGCCCTCTTCAAGTTTGTTGGATTTTTTTGCTTTGAATTCATTTTCTTTCATTTTGAATATTCATGTGATCTGTCCTGCACTTCTGCATTGTCTGTACCTCAGTCAGAGTATTTGGGAAGCAGAGGTGAGTAATAAATTCCCTGAAGTAATCAAAAACAGTGAGAATGCAAAAATCCTGCGGTGACGAGCGACCTGCCAACATGTGGGAGCAATGACTCCAGCACAGTAAATATTAACCTCATTGTGAACTCATCATTCCTCAGCTTGCAGTGCTGCAGCCGAGTTGGGCAGAGTACTCATTAGGATTACCCCAATGCCAACTGTTTGGATGGATTTTTAAAAATCAATCTGGGATGTGTTCACATCTGTGCCAGTGGGCTTGAGGCTGTTTTTGTGTCTATAAATGTGCATAAAGCTGGCCTGCTGCCAGCGCTCTGGGTTTGTGCTCAGATCTTTATCAGGTTTTGTTGTGCACCTGTACTAGGAAGAAAGGAAAAAAATTTAAGAGGAGTGATTTGGCTGTACGGAAGTTCATTTTAATGACTCTGCAAGACAGATTTTGTGGCAAGGTTTCATTTTAAAAGACTGTTAAACACAGTTTCCATCAGAAATGATGATGAGGGGCATGGCTGTGAAAAGGTGGTTGGCTTTTCTCATCGGAAAGTTTGGCTTTTTCAGATGAGGCTGCCAGTGAGGTGAAAGCATTGCAGCTGGGCAGTGTAAGGTGAGAAATAGCTGCTTTACGCATGTCTTGAAACCCACAATCTATTAGGAATGTTATTCCTCTGCCACAGAGACTTTTCACTCATGCTCCATCTGCAGATCACCTCCTTTACTGCCTGAAGGGAGTTCAGCACTTCCACGTGCTCCACAGTTAACGGAAGGGTAAGTAAGGCTGCCGGGTACAACAAATCTAGCAATTTGTGTGTGTGTGTTTGTAACCCACTATGTTAATATTAGGCTACCACATTCTAAGTTGAGTACTACGATATGGCCTCCAGAAAAACTGTGGTCAGAGTGCAGGTAAGCACTGTTGGGAACAGAAACTTCTTAAAATTTGGCTTCCTGTTAGTTGTTAAAAACAAAAGATTATTTCCTATCTTGTGACTCATGGTTGGGGTTTTGAATGCTATTGGTGGGGTGGTTCCCCCACCCCACACACACTTCTCCCTTCTTACTGACAATCAAGGAAAGTTGGGCTTGGCCCTGGAGCTGATGTATTTTTTTCTCTCTTCAGAACTGTATCACAAAGAGCTGCTTTGAAGGACCGGCAGTAGTTCCTGAAGTTACAAGACCTCGGCTGAAAGATGCTGGTGCTGTCCCTCATGTCTGAGTCTATCTCAAGGCCAAAGAAACTCAGTTTGTTGTAATATCCGCAGTTGCTAAGTGTGTGTCTCATCACCCAAGTAGCAGCCCTGAAAAAAGGGTATCTGGTGATGTTGCTTTGACTAATCATGCAGGTACCAAGCCCATGAAACTTCAGCTTCCTTGAGTGCTAAGAGTTTCAGAAGACTGGTGAGTCACGGAGATGGATTAGGTTGGTCCTTTCCAGCCTTTCTGTAGCCAGGGCTTCCAGCTGCCACTTCAGTCTTGCTGGGTCAAAGTGCTTGGCAGATCTGAGGGGCATGGGGGTCTCCCCTCTGCCTCACCTGAGGGTTAACACAGCTCAGGAACAGGGGACCTTTGGTTTAAGTGAGGCCAGGCCTCCCTGCACAAGAGTGCTCCCAAAGTCATGACTCCCAGTTACAGAAAATCAACTTTGAAAGAATTTGGTCCAAGTTAAGAGCTCCAGTGGGCATGGGGGGCTTAGCTGTGACCTCTTCTGTTCCTGGCAGTACCAAAGCTGTCACTCTGGCAGGCAGGCTCCAGTGCTTGTAGTGCTGCTTAATCAAATCCAGTAAAACCAGCAAAGGCTATTGGAAACACATTAAGAGGGGGAAAAAATAAAAGAACCTCTGCAAAAACAATTCCTCTTCCTTACTCTTTTTTTTTTTTTCCCCTGCAAGGGCTTCCTTATGGAGTCATTTTAGGATTTTTTTGTCATCTTAAAACTGCCCTATATCAACATGCTGCCCATGCTACAAGAAGGAGGCTTGCTGTGTGGTTGGTTGGTGTAGCTGGAGGGAGTGAGGAGAGGTACCTCTACGAGCACCGTGGAGACAGGCTCTATGAAAACATCTTCCTCTCTCGTGCTTGGTTTCTATGCCCTGCCTGTCACAGGAGCAGTCCCTCTACTAGCAAGGATGGGCCTGGCAAGCCCTGAACCCTGGTACTGTGCTGCGTCTGAGTCCGGCGCTGTAACATCGACAGTTTCTCTCTTGATTCAGAGTGTCCTGCCATCTCCCTATTTTTTAGGCCGCTGGTGATGAGATCCTTCTTGGATTTCTTTGAGCATGCCAGAATTACTGGTGCTGTAGATATGATGCATGACTTTAAACCCCTTTCCATCCCCAGCAACCTCTCCGGGGAACATGCATCGATTGAGATACTCGGAATAGCACATTTCTTGACCCACTTAGAGGTAACGGAATGGGGAGCTGAAGCCTTTTTCTTTAAAAGGCTGAGCACTGGTGAAGTGTGGATGTCACCTCAGTGTGGGAGAGGGGCACTGGAAATGGTGTGAGGCTATTTGGTGTGTTTGCTTTCCTTGAGGCATCCAGTCTGTTCTTGTCCACTGAGCTTTCTTCCAGGAAAAGGAATGTTTGTTCCTGAGTAGCTGGAACAACTGGCTCCTAAGCTGGTTGCTGCCTTTTTGGAAGCAAAGCCCTAAGGGAATATGAAAACCCTCAACTAGAAGGGCTTTGGGCCTCAACAAGGCAGTGAGCATTAAGTACGCCTCTGTGACAACTGATGAGAAATGGAAAAATGTATGTATATATTGGTTTGTGACTGCTGTCACTGACATTTTCTACTACAAGAAAGCTACAACTTTGCTCCCTGTGAAGAACTGAAGAAAAGTCGAGAAAGGCTTTTTAAGCTGACCTTTTTCCCCTACCTTTTGTGGCTGTGACGTGTGCTGGGAATTTGTGACAAGATCACAGCAGCTGTAGGAAGTGCATGTAGCTGCTGAAGGAAAACTCTCCTCAGTCTTTCTCCTTTCTCCCTAAGAAGCCCGTGCAGCATCGCAATAAGCATGAATTCTTCAGGAGAGCATTTTAATGATGTCCTCTTGAAAGGAACAGACACTGCCCCTGTGTGTGCCCTGCAACCATCCCTTTGTGCCCGATACTGCAGAATTACAGAACTGGGATGGGACACGGAGATGTCTCATACACAAGGGCCCGGCCTTCCCTGGGCTGGCTCTGCTGGTGTCACTGACCAGCAGGGCAGAGGGTTGCCCAGGAGGAGAGCGGGGGCATCACGGTGTCGGGGCCCCTGAGAGCAGCAAGCAGGTCAGTGGCCTCCATCCAGCTGCTCAGAAAGCTGTGGTGAAACAAATACCTGTTAAATCAGAGACAGTGTGATGTGAGACTTATTCATGTCTGGCACATCCCTGAGAAGGCTGGTAGGGATGGGCTTAAGCAGCTCGTGGCTTGAGCTACTCACTGTGGTGCCACTATTTGGGAGCCCAAGTCTTAGGGCGCTTCTGAGGACTCCATAGAACATTAAAGGCCTCTTGTGGCAGAGTTGTTTTTTTGTGGATGTTGGGACACTTGCTGTGGAGACAGTAACAGAAAAAAAAATGGGATGTGCTTGTGTCTGTGTGTGCTTGTGTCTTGGTTTCACACTACTGCTGTCGTGACAGATACTGGGGCTGGAGACCATTTGTTTTCACTGCAGTTGTTGTTTTGGGGAATAGTGGATTGAGAAAGACAGTTTGGGTGTCTCCAGGAGTCTTGTTTGTAGGCTCAATGAGTTGGGGACAGTGGTGCTGTGACACCATGAGTTTTGAGTGTACCTTGATGGAGGTAGTTTGCTGTAACTGAGCTGGGTTTGGGAGGGTGGGAGAGGTTTGCCGCGATCTATGGCAATGCCAGTTTCCAGTTATTGTCCAAATTCTTCATGGTACCTTGTCGCTCTGGTGGGTACTCTTTATCTCGCCCCAATGGCTCTATCTTCCCCTATTTTATGGGCCAAAGCTTTCATGTAAAAAATGATTGATTTCAGAGAGCAGGTTCCAAAGATAGATGCTAGCTGTAACCTTACTGTGGGTACCTGCCCGCTTCTCCTTTGCCTGCAGCAACACTGGGCTCAGTTAAACGCTCAAGGTGCCCAGGGCTGGGCACAGGGCACGCTGGAGCAAGGGGCTTGCCAGATCCCTGGCTTCAGAGGGTGACGGGTCTCCGTGAGCATGTCTGAGGACAGCTTCTGTGAAGGGGGTGACGATTTGAGGTTTGGTGTGGTGCCTCCTCAGGGTGTTGTCAGGAGGGCGGTGGTGCCCAAGACCTGTGTCTCTTGGGGCCTTAGGGTCCTAGGGGCCTTTCCACATTTTTTTCTGCTGCTGCCCTCCATGTCCACTTGGGTGCTGGTCCGGTGCCTTTTCCCAAGGCTGCATCCAGGCTGCAGTAGGGAAGAAGCAGCCGGGCAGCTCCCAGGCTCACTTTGAAGAGGCTTGAGGGTGGTTGGGGGCAGAGGGCATTGGTGGTGTCACCATGAGGCTGTTTTAGGGTCCTAGGGGCCTTTCCACATTTTTTTCTGCTGCTGCCCTCCATGTCCACTTGGGTGCTGGTCCGGTGCCTTTTCCCAAGGCTGCATCCAGGCTGCAGTAGGGAAGAAGCAGCCGGGCAGCTCCCAGGCTCACTTTGAAGAGGCTTGAGGGTGGTTGGGGGCAGAGGGCATTGGTGGTGTCACCATGAGGCTGTTTTGGGATGGGGGGGCCTGCGGTGGCCCTGAGGCCACTCCAGGCCTGTGTGGGGGTTAGCGGTGGCACCATTAGGATGGTTGGGACAGGGG